CTGCTGCCCAGCTCACCTTCCTGGGGAACTGGAGAACTTGGGGGATATTTGGGGGCTTTTGGGGGAATGATTCTCCACTGAGTCTCTCTGTTGTTTGGCTAAGAAAAAAAGACAATTTAAATACATTATCTAATTATTTCTGATTACTCCTGGGGGAGCTCTGATGGCAGCATCTTATTCTAGGTCGATGCTTTTTTCCTTTTGTTGCTGTTGCCTCACCCTGACCTTTCAGGCCTTGGAGCAGGGAATTAGTTTGGAAAAGAGCAAACCTGCTTTTTTCTTTCCCCCCAAAGCAGATGAATGCAGAACCTGAGAATTCCCAAACTCTCCTGGAAGTTGTCTCAAATAACGGCTGCATTTTTTATGAACATCTCGTGACAAAGGCTATGACTTTACAAAATTCAGGCAGAGATTATCCTCCTGTATCCACGAGCTGGAAAAAAGAGGCAGCCATCAGAAAACAAAATGATGTTTTGCTTGAATGGTCACATATGTAAAATGATCAAGGTGGGGGATGTTTGTCTGGTTTTAATCCGGTTTTATCCAAGTTTTCCCATTTGGAGATGTCCAATTGATGCTCTGTCACCTGTAGGACACTCCAGCCCAAAGGGGACTGGAATTTTTGGGGTGATGGTCATGCTGGGGGCTCCTCCTGCACCTTGGGACACAGCTCAGCTTGAGAGATGAGATTGGAAAAATGCAGCTTACATCTGTAATTGCAAAGGTCATTTCTCCTGCAGCACAGCTCTTCTTGTGTCAGATGGGCTGAAGCCATTTCAAACCTTCAAAAGTCACTTGATGCTGTATTTAAAACAAAAATGATCCTATTTAATAGAGGAATTTTAAAGTTAGAAATTGTCAAGCTTTATTGCATTTGCTGTCTAATCACAGTAGCTTTTTGTTGCTGTTGTTTTTAGGGACTGTGAGGTTTGGTGGTGAGCAGGTTCTCCTGGGCTTACAAAACTCTTTTATTTCTTCATGATTTGGGGTTGTTGGTGGTTCTGGGTTGGGTTTTGGGAGCCTTGTTTTATATATTCTGGTCATAAAAAGGAAGGGGTAGAGGGAGGAAGAAGAAAAAAATTCCAGCAGTCCTGGCTGATGGTTTATTGCGGTGGTTTGGGCTTTTTGCAGCTTCTTTGTGTGGCTTTGCTCGTGTTCCTTGATGCTCTTTCCAAACCAAACTCTGTTACTTCCCCTCACCCCATTTCCCTGAGAGCTGCATTTTGGGAGGGACCAGTTGTGTGGAGCATCTTGGTTCAAACTCTCCTGGGAGGTTTTATCTGAGATTTCCCAAAGATTTGGGGCACTTTGCTGCTTCTCTCTGCCTTAAACTTACCCTAAACCAGCAGAATTTGGTGTTTTTAGGGAGAGACAGGGGTTGCTCCTGACAAGCCTGTTTGCTTCTAGAGCAAATTCTAAGTAATATTAATAATTGATATTTATTTTAAGTTTGGCTTGTTCTGTGCTACCGAGCTGTCCTTGGCTGGTCCCACACATCCTGCCCTGCTGGGTCCAAGGAGGTCCATCCTGGTGTCTTCTCCAGTTTTGAGGGAGCCCTTCCTGGGAGAAAAGAGGAGGAAATCCTTCTCCACTCATGTTTTTCCCACCACCATGGATGAGGCTTCCTTAGGTGCCTGAGCAGTGTTGTTTTTTTTTCTTTAATTCGGGTTTTTCTCAGTAATTTTCACAGATCCAGAGTGGATCTTTGTTTGCCAGGGCAGGTTCCATCCTTTCCCCAGCAAAGATGAGTGGTGTCATGGTCGGGAGAGGATTTGGGCTCTCAGGTTTGGTTGTTGTGGTGTCACCTCTGCCCTCTTCATGGGATGTCACCTTGGTCCCCCTCACCAGCTCCAGGCAGAGACCCCAGTGACCTGCTGAGGGGTTTTGGGTGAGTGTGTGGAGCATTCCCAAAGCTCCCTGGTGTAGGAGCAGCGTGGATCTCCAGGCTCAGTGAGGCTGCAAGCGCTGTGGGATTCAGGATTGAGGAGCACAGCACTTCCCTGCCCTGGACTTGAACTTAATTCCCTTTGGATGTGAAAGTGGAGCTGTGAGCAGGATCAGGAGGGAAGGGTCAGGCTGGAGCATCACCAGCCCTGTGCTCCCTGCAGTTATCCTGCTCTAGGGATGGTCTCACCTCTCATCCCTGGAATTTTAACTGTGTGTGACCTTAGGAACTGAACCAAATCCGAGGCCAATGGCACAAGGGAAAACGCTCTGGGCAAGGGAGAAATCAGCAAAGGGAGGCCCCACCCTCTTTCCCAGAAAAAAGCACCAAACATGCTCAATAAATGCGAAGGTAATTTAAAATCTGAATCCAGGAGACAATGTGACTGGGATTTCATTACTTAAGCAAATGGATTTGCTTTTAGTGGATTCAGCCACAGACTGAAAGAAGCTTTCCCCAAGGGGTAAACATTTTTCCTGCATTTGAAAGGCTTTCTTGTATTGGGGGAGGGGGGGATCTGGGGGGGGCAGGAAGCAGGACTGTGGCTGCCCAAGGAGCACCTTTATTTTGGGCAGATTTGGGCATTCCCAAAGCTGTGCTTTTGGGCAGGTGCTTTTGGGGAGCTCTTGGGGTGGGATGCTGGGCCAGGTGGGAGGATGCTGGATGAGGCAGGAGGATGCTGGGGGAGATGCAGGCATTGTTGGGGGGATGCAGGGGATGTTGGGGTGGATGCAGGGGACATGCTGAGGATGCTGGCGGGATGCAGGAGGATGCTGGGGGCATGTGGGGGTAATGCAGGAGAATGTTAAGGGCATGCAGGGCTGCTGCAGGGGGATGTGAGGGGATGCAGGGGGATGTGAGGGGATGCAGCAGGATGCTCAGGATGCAGCAGGATGCTCGGGGATGCAGGAGGATGCTGAGGGGATACAGGGGGTGCTGGAGGATGCTGGGGGGATGCAGGGGATGCTCACCACCCCTGCTCCATGCCTTCCCCTGGCCGCAGGAGTTAACCAGCAGCAGTGCCAGCTCTGCAGACTGTTTGGAATAGTTTAAATGCTTTGACACTCTGGATGTACTAGATGGCAGGGGAGGCAGTTTACAGCGTAATTCATATGCAAAACTGCACTATAAATTTAAAACCTGTCTCAGTTGCCGTGGCACCACTAAGCATTTCATCAGCATACAGTACAGTATTTCTGCCATCTTTGTTTGCATTGCAGTGACTCATCAAAAGTCTGTCTTGTACCAACACTGAGAGCATTCCTCTGGCACTGATATTTCTCTGTTTTTAAAGCTTCGGTTTGAAACTGGCATTTACTTCAGGTCCCTAATCAAAGGGCTCTATTCATTGCAGAGAGCAGCCTGAATGTTAATCTGCATCCGGCCTATTCATTTAGATGCTGTGCGCTGCCGGGGAGATTTGACTTGGTAAAAGCTTGAGCTCCAGCAGATACAAACCCAGGGCTTGATACTATATTTTATTTTCCCCCTCCCCTGAGCACTCGGCGGTCGGGGGACAGGAGCCCCTCGGCAGCAGCTCTGCCAGGGACGCTGCTCAAGGTACGTTCGCTCCCGGCCAGGCGAAGGCACCGCGAACTTCCTCGCTTGGAAGAATTTTTTTTTTTTTTTTAACCATGCAGATACAATTAAATTGGCTCCGAGTGTGTTCCCTTTTCTTCCTGTTACCCCGTGGCCTTGCAGATAGGACTTTTTTTTTTCTTTCTTTCTTTTTTTTCCCCTCGGCAATGGGAACAGAGCAGCTCTTTGTGGGTTATTATTTTCTTTCCAGAGATTTTTTTTTTNTTTTTTTCTTTCTTTCTTTTTTTTCCCCTCGGCAATGGGAACAGAGCAGCTCTTTGTGGGTTATTATTTTCTTTCCAGAGATTTTTTTTTTTAATCTTTCTCAGATAAACTTCTATTTTTTTTTTCCTTTAAAAAAAAAAAAATATCGTTCTTCTGAGCTTTCAGTATTAGTTAAACGTAGTTTTTCTTCAGTAGTATTACAGGCAGACAGGATTTTAAATCTCCTGGACTCTTTGGGGAGGGAGCACGGGGGGGTCTGGGCTCGGTGAATCCGCAGTGATTTGCTCCGCTGGAGTTTCAGCGCCCAGGCTGCACCAGCGCTACCTGCTCCGGCTTTTCCTCAGGTCCCTTCCAACGCCTGGCTCTGTTTTTTTTTTTTTTTTTTTTTTGGGGGGGGGGAGGTGGAAGCAGGAATTCTGCCCATGGCCAAAAGGTACAGCCGGCCCTGAAGACAGGGATGTGGATCCGGAGCCTCCAGCCTTGCAGGGTCCTCGCTGCCGGTACCGGGGGCTGGGGGCTCCTCCTGCACCAGGGGCTGGGCTGGGGCTCCCCCTGCCCCACTCGGGATCTGGGGGAGGAAAATCAGAAGACAACTTGGTAGGCGGCTCGCTGCGGCAGGCACGTTGGTTTGTTTTATTGGGGCTCAAATATCTGGCTTAATTTGGAGATAAGCCTCGTTTTGTTGCAGGATAAATCTGTTGAGAAGGGGTTTAACTGTTGAAATGCTCCCTCTTTCTGGTGCAAATGGGAAGATTGCTTTTCAAAGTGCTTTTTCCTGGGAGCTCTCGCTCCGGCAGAATCCTGTATTTATTTCGGGCAGAATGGCACATTGTTTTATAAATATCTTTTCTGTAGTTTCAACATAGCTGCTGGTTGTTGTGTTTCTTATATAATGCTACCGAGATCTGTCTGACTGCCTTTCGTTTGCTTTACTGTTCTCTCCCATTATCGTTCAGATTTTCCTGCATAAAGTAAAAACCCCCGGGGGAATAAATCAGTGGTGCTTATTTAAACAGACCACAACTTGAAGGAAATACTTGCATTTTTGGAATATCCTTTGCCATCCACCAATAGCATTCCCAACGTTGCTTGAAACCATCGATAAGTAATTTTTATAAGCGATTGCTTTTCCGTGTTGGCTCTCAGAGCTCAGCTTTGATGTCGGGTGAGGTGGGTTCCTGTGCTCCTGCCTGCTCTGGTGAACTGTCTAAAAACGTTGTTCCTCTCTTTCCCTGCCTTCTCCGTTTTTCAGATGTGCCCTACTTTGGATATTCCTGCATTGAATGTCTGAGGAGCTCCAGCCGATCCTGAGCCATGTCGCAGATGTTGCACATAGAGATTCCCAACTTCGGGAACACCGTTCTGGGCTGCCTGAACGAGCAGCGGCTGCTGGGGCTCTACTGCGATGTCTCCATCGTGGTGAAGGGCCAAGCCTTCAAGGCTCACCGGGCTGTGCTGGCTGCCAGCAGCCTCTACTTCCGAGACTTGTTCAGTGGGAACAGCAAAAACGCCTTTGAGCTGCCGGGGACCGTCCCCCCGGCTTGCTTCCAGCAGATCCTGTCCTTCTGCTACACCGGCAAGCTGACCATGGCAGCCAGCGAGCAGCTGGTGGTGATGTACACGGCGGGCTTCCTGCAGATCCAGCACATCGTGGAGAAAGGCACGGACTTGATGTTCAAGGTCAGCTCTCCCCACTGTGACTCTCAGACCACCATGATCGAAGACCCCAGCTCGGAGCCGCAGAGCCCCTGCAACCAGCTGCAGTCGGCCTCGGCTCCTTACGTCATGTCCCCCTCCATGCCCATCCCGCTCCTCACGCGGGTCAAACACGAGAACCTGGAGCTGCAGGCCCTGCCTGGCCTGCCTGGCAAGCGACCCCTGGAGCCTGGAGCCCGGGAGGGGCCGGGTGGCACCGGCAGCACCGGGCCCCTGAAGCTGTCGCGCGTCTCCTACTACGGGATGCCCAACCTGGCCACGCTGATCCCCAACGTGCAGCAGGTGCAGTACTCGCAGGGAGAACGCACCAGCCCCGGGGCCAGCAGCATCCCCACCACCGACAGCCCCACCTCCTACCACAACGAGGAGGATGAGGAGGATGACGAAGCCTACGACACCATGGTGGAGGAGCAGTACGGGCAGATGTACATCAAGTCGTCGGGAGGATACTCTGGTAATGGAGGTCTCTCTGCTTGGGTTTTCTGCTCCCTCTCGGTGGTTGTGTGGTCCTCGTTCAGCAGCCCTGGGCGGTTTTTGGGTTGTTCCAGCAGGGTTTTGTCTTTGGGGGTTTCATTTGTTGGTTTGGTGCTGATGTCCAGGTCTCCCCGTGCCGTTGTCCCAAGCTGGGAGACTCTTCAGATGTGAGGCTGCATCATCCCCCAGGGTCAGCTCAGCCCTTTGCTTTTTTGGCTGAGGCTGCCAGCGAGGAGCCTGGTGGTTGCATGAGCCCTGTGGTGGTGACATCCATCCCAAGGTGATGGCTGAGCTCACCTGCCATGGGCCATCCCTTTGGCCCAGGGTGAGGTGGTCACTTAGGGAATTGTTTTCTGTCCTGGCTTTTTTGAATAAGAGTTTTCAAAAAAGTGATGAACGTGTGATATTTGGAGGAAGAGAGAAGAACATCAACTAAATTATTTTTATAGAAATTAATCAGGAATATCTGCAAAAGGAAGGGAAGGTGGAGATTTCTCCCCACTGCCTGAAGTGCCCCTCTCTCCTTTGTCAGCTTTGTCACACACATCACTGTCAGAAAGGGAAAAGCAGTTTGGGGGCTTATTTCCCCATTAGAAACACAGTGCCCAGAACTAAGTAAAATCCCTTCCTGCCCTTCCAGAATTTGGGATTGAGGAGTGAGTGCAAATCCCTCGATGGGCCTCAGACAGAGGAGGCAGCTTCACTTCAGTGCTTGGCAGGGAGCTGCTGCAGCCCCAAGGTGGGCATAGGAGCATGAGAGGTCCTTTCCCTCCCACTTCCTTGGACACACAGCTCCTTTCCCTGGGCACCTTGCAGTGCTCAGACCCTCCTGAGGAGCCAGGACAGGTGGGGTGCAGATCCAGGGGCTCATTTCCAGAGGGGAGATGCCCTGTGTGCATCCTGTGTGGAAACAGCTCCCAGCACCCCACACAGATGGAGCTGGCAGTGTCCCACATGGAAGCTCAGCCTCTCAGTGGCCTCCCTGTGGGAGCTGCAGGTGTTTGTGGCAGCAGCTTTGATCCTCAGGAGCTCCCCAGGGAGGGACATCTTCCCTCCAGCCCCACGCAGCATCCCCTCGCCTGGAGCTGCTTTCCCTGCTCTGCCTCCTGGAATTGCTGCACTCATGTTGCAAATATTTTAACTCTGGCTCATTGATGAGCTTTCCTCAAAGCCATTTGATTTTAGTCTTTACTTAGGAACAAGACTTGTCAAATGGGACAATTTTTGTTACCTAAAGCCAGGCTTCTTTGAGAATGGGCTTACCCTCACACACTGTCCCATCCCATCCCATCCCATCCCATCCCATCCCATCCCATCCCATCCCAGGAACAGAAGCTCAGCATCCTCTTGGCAAATTCCTCTGTCAGACAGCGAGCACATAAGCAATAATTTTCCAAGTTTTTTTCCACCAAGCCATATGAAAAAGGGGGAAAACATAGTCAAGTTGCTATTTTAATATTAGAAATATTTGCTAGGAAAATTGGACAAGCAGTTGTAGGAAATGAACCTCAAAGGCTTGAGTGCTCTCCCTGCTCTGCTTCAGGTCCCAGTGGTTGGGATGGGTTAGGAGAGGAGTTGTGATCAGGGGTGGGACAAGGTCAGGGTCTCCTCCATGGCTGCTGTTAGTGCCAGACTGAACAGGAATTGTGCTGCTGCCCACTTGTTTTGGGTTTATTTTGCTTTTCCCCTCTGTAGAGCCTGTGGTGAGTAATGTGGGTTTGCCCTCAGTGTTATTCCTTGGAGCAGTGGGATTATGCCCTTGGACTGTGTTTTCCATCCCTGTCACTGGGCCAGTTCCTGCAGAAACAGAACAAAACCAATTCAGGAGGCAAGGAAGGACAGGAGCAGCCCCAGGATGGTGCAGGCTGCAGCTCTGAGCTTGTCCCTAACCCTTGTCGGGCAGGAGCCATCCCAGTAGGAAAAGTGAAAATCTGAGCAGCTTTCTCAGGTGTCACTGGAGGTGCTGCAGCCTTTTGCCAGAGCTGAGCATCCCACAGCCAAATTTTCCTGCTTGTTTTCTGTAGGGAGAACCAGGTGGTGATGCTGAGGCCGTGCAGGGAAGAGGCAGCTTGTAAGGCTCTAAATATCCCACATTTCTGCTGAAATTCCTCTTCCTCACCCTCACCTTTCAAGGGAGTTTCCTGCTTGAAATAAGTCAGCTAGAGGTATCAGTCTTCCTGGAAAAGAGTGCATGCAAAAAAAAAAATGAGATTACAAAAAGTAAAACCTAAGCTGTTCCATTATGGTTTGGACTTGCAGAGCTAACTGTGTTTTAATTACTCAGGATAAAGTGTACCCTCTCCAAAGGTGCAGAATAATGAAAGCGTGAGATGGAAGAGAGAAGGCAGCTAATCCTGCTCCTGGCATGGAGATCCCCACAGCCTCACAAAGGCCTGGGGGAGGGGGGAGCCCTTTAAAATAGGGATTGCCAAGGTTTCCAAGAGCCCTGTTTGTGAAAACAAAAACAAAGCCAAAGAGGAGCAGAGCAGACGAAGCTCTGGATTTCAGAGAGGTTTGCTGGATTTTTTTTTTCCTTCTTTTTCTCTGATTTTTTGTTCCCCATCTGAAGTGTTGGTGCTGGTGAGGGTGTGGTGGGACACTGGTGGCTGATGCTCTTCACCTGCCTTCAGCATCACCCACCACCCTTGGAGGGGTCACCAATCCTCTTCTTGCCCCAAGGTTGGTGGGTTTTAATTTATTTTCTTTACCCCTTTTTGTAGTCAGACCTATTCCTAATCTCCAAAGCTGGATCAGAGCCACATCTCCAAATCATAGGATCCTTAAAGTTGGAAAAAGCCTCCAAGATCAAACTTTGACCAAACACCACCAAGAGCACTGAATGCCACATTCAGCCATTCCTTGGGCCACCTCCAGGAATGGGGACTCCACCACCTCCCTGGGTGGCTCTTTCCAGTTCCTGAACAGCTTTTCCACTAAGAAATTCCTCCTGATGTCCAACCTGAACCTTCTCTGGCACATCTTGAGGCTGCTTCCTCTTGGAGGAAACCTGGGAGAAGAGTCTGATGCCACCTGCAGCGGTGACACTGGTGTGAGGCACCAGGGCAAGCGTTGGACCTGCCAAAAGAGCAGCAGGATGAGGCCAGGATTAAAAACAGGAGGGTCAGGCTTAGGTATTGACACAGATGGTGAAAGAAAGGGGTAGGAAAAGGTGCCTCAGTTTCCCCCCCAAGTTTGGTGGCCACGTTTGGTGGCCACGGTGCCGTGGCAGGCTGGCAGCACTGCGGTAAAATGGCTCCTCGCTCCATAAGTAGGTCTGGTTGTGGAGAACATGTGGGCCTCGAGGACACGAGCAAGACTTAATGAGGTTTCCAGCATCTGATCTGAGGAACGCACAACTCCAGAAAATATTAAACAAAAGCAAAGTATTTTTATCCCTGTTAATTACAGCGTCGTGGGCCTGAGCTGAAGTGGGTTTCAGCAGGACTTGCAGATGCTCGGCGCTTTTCTGCACTGAGCCACGTTCTTGTCAGTCAGCTCTCTGCTGAGCAGATGCAGTTAATTTAATTTTGACAGGCACCAGAGAAGTTGTGCGAGGGTCCATCCTCCTCCCCTGCTCCTGCTGCACCCGGTTTGCAGGGAAAAGGGAAAATCTTGATGCAGCAAATGGCTGGAATGTGAAAGCTGGACTTGAAAGTTATGAAATCCTGAACTGACAAGAGCACACTTCATTAAAAATTCATCTAAAATAGCCATTATAGAATAGTTGTGGTAATTAGCTGAGAGAATAGTTTTCTCTCCTGGCCTCTTGATTCCTGACAGTAAGGAAAGAGGGCAAGGAACAACCCAGAATCCCAAATGATGCAGCCCGAGCTCAGCCCGGGCACGAGGCGCTGCAGCGACGTAAATCACGATTGTGGCACTGGGTAATTGCAGCTGGCTGTGACTGCAGGGACAGGCACCTCATCCTGCAAGGTCCCCCCCCCTGTCCCTGTGCACAGGGGAGGATGCTCAGCAGCAAAATCCTGCGTTTTTAGGAAATGGAGAGGTCAAGATGTGGCGGTTATCCAGCAGAGCGCTTTTTGCAGAGGGATTCGAACAGCTGGGAAGTGCTGAAAGCCAGAGTTTGTGTCTTTAATCCGAGGTGGGGATTGCTCACAGGTTGCATTTGATGCTCTTGGAGGTGTTTTCCAGCCTGGGTGGCTCTGTGGTGGCACTGCCCCACCCTGACCCTGGCACAGAGCTGTGCAGGGCAAGGCTGAGCCCCACGCTGGGGGCACTCAGCCTCTGGCCTTTTTTGGCATTAAACTTCCAGCCCCATTTTCCTCACTCTGAACCACAGATGTTTAATTTTAGGCTGGCAGATGTTTCACTCCTGGCTGAGATCTGAGGCGAAGGCAAGATAGGGGTATTTATAAACCAGTAATATTTTTCCTATACTAATTCCAGATTACCTCCCTGTATAAATAGGTCACAAATCAAATGGCTACATTGCAGTACGTTGGTATAAATGTACTATTTGGGAAATGTAAACTCTCCCCGTTGGGACTCTGTGATGGATCTATCCCATGGTGCTTGTGTGTGTCCTCTGCTACAGGTTTACATCTGCAGCAGATGCTGCTGAGGCTGAGGAGGGAAAATATTTTTGGGGTGGTCCCACTGCCAGTGGAAAATTGGGGACGAGAGAGAAATGTTAAAATATTAGCATTATTGTTAAAATATTGCTGTTTGGAAAGAGACTTCTGGTCGTGTAGGGAACAGGGGAGAGCCATCCACATTTCTGCATCCACGGTAGAGCAGGTGGAGTTGGGTTCTCAGGCCTTTTCTTCACGGCTTGAGATGTGTGGTTACATGTTGGGACTCTGAAAACATCAATTTTTGGGTGAGGCTCCATCACTCTGATCTTTCTGTTATCTCCAAATCCCATTCCTAAACCAGAAACAGTTTGTTTCTTGCCCACAGGAGAACCTTGACGTTTTTGTACAGTTTGGAGAAGCAAGGCTGGTGGGAACTGGGGGTTCATGACTTATTTTGAAGCCCTGCTGTTTGGATTGTCAGGAGATGAGTGAGTGCTGGGGCCAGGTGTGTGTCCAGAAATTCCCAGGCACTCACCTGAGCAAATCTGGCCCCAAACACCTCAGATGGGACATGCAGCAATGTCACCAAACCATCATGGACTCAGCACTGAGGTGCTGTAAGGGACCTCTGGAGGGGACAGTGTGTTTTAGGGACAAGGAGGACACATTCCCCAGCATCATGCAGAGCCTGGAGCCATGGAGCATGAACAGTGAATTAGTTTGAGGCTGTTTCTTCAGCCAAAACCATCCAGGAAAATGAGTATTTCCCATTCTGCACCACCTGTTGCAGCTGCAGCATCCAGCTAAGTTTGGGATAAAAACAGATCTCCAAAGAAATAAAATATTCCAGTGTTTGGCTGGCAGCTCTCGTGGCTTCCTCTGTAATGATTTCCTGCCCCTCTCTGCTGACTGGGAGCTCCTTTCTCGTTCAGGAACAAAACTGTATTTAACAATACTTCCCATTGTTTGTCCTTTCATTCAAAGGGAAGGAGCCGCTGCCCTCTGAAGATACAAATTAATTAGAAGCAAATACTCTCCTGTTCTCTGGAGCAGAAAGGCCAAACAGAGTGGCTTTCTTTGGAAACATGGGACCAAAGTGGCTCTTGTGTCCTGCTCCTTTACATAACTGATTGCTATCTGCTCAACTGAGGTGCCACTGAAAGCCCCAAACCTCTTTTTTGTTTGGTATCGTTGATTTTGTGCTAATGCTTGAATGGAAACAAAGTCCCCCAAAGTGATTCATGGCCAGGTTTAATAAGAGGTTTATAGACAGTGAGCCAGCAGGGCAGATGGAACCAAAATCCAGCAGTGGCTTGAGTTGCACTCGGTCTTTTTAGCTGAATTTTAGTTTGGTTTATGAAGTATTTGATTTTACAGGAAGGAATAGAAACTTCTCCATGTCTTCTTGTGTAAAAAGTGAAATGTCTTCAGAATCAAAGAATTTCTTCAAGTCAGGACTGTCCCCAACCTGTCCTGAAAAGCTGCTGTTCTTTCAGGAAAGAAGTTTGACAACAAATCCTTCCAAATTTCTTCAGGGAGGGAGAATGAATGCAAAAAAAAAAATACCTGGAGGCTTCTAATGCCAGAGTCTGTGCAGGATTCTGCTTCCTTTCAGCAGCTCCACTGGTTTTTGGGTGCTGATGGATCTTGTGGGTGCTTTTGACCTGAGTCATTGGTTAAAGTACAAATGAAATACTGAAAATTCAGTTGTAATAACCTGGGCAGAGCCCTGTGCTGCTGGGATTGTGTAGGTCACATACACAGCTCCTAGGGGGTGTATATTTAATTTTACCTCTGAGTAAAATTTGGCTTCTGGGAGATGACTGAGGTGTCCTTTCCTCCCCTCGAGCTGCCCTGGTGGCCCTGCCTTGCCAGAGCCACAAAGCCAGGGAAGGACAGCAGAGCAGGGCTGGCTCCTCCATACCCACTGCCCTCTGCTTAAACTGAAAAATATCAGTATTTAATTGGATATGGTTTGTTTACCACTCTTTGAAAGCCTCAATATAGAGCTGGTGTTTGGGATTCTCCCTCGGTGGGAGCTGACCCCATCTCCAACTGGATCTGGATGCTTGGGAATGGTGGGAATATTGCAGGAATGGCAGTGGCACAGATTTCACACAGATAATGGAGCTGTGCTGTCACAAAAAGTTTAAAATCACCTTGTGAGTTGTTCTGCTGCTGTTGGGTCCTGACTCCCTGAGCAGGGACCATCACTGTGATATTCCAGAATCCCTCCTGGAGTTCCTCAGGGACAGAGGGAGCTGTGAGGGTGGGGATGATCCCAGAGCCTGCCATAGGATGCCACAGCCCAGCACGGCATCACGGCCATGTCCTACTTAGAACACTGCTCCCTTTGTCCCTGAGCCATCACCCTCGGTTACTGCAGCAACAAGTCTGCAAAACTTGTTATTTTATCTGCAGAGAGGAAAAGTGGCCCCCAGAACTGTGGGATAATGGCAGGAAAAGCCACCTCTGGAGCAGGAGATGTTTGGAGTTCAGAAACGCTCCTTGCTGGGGTTTCTGCTTCTTTCAGTGTTCACAGATATTCAGATATTGTCAGATGTTCACAGAGCTGGGGTTGGGGTTGTACATGGCACTTGCCAACTTATCAAACAGTTTTGGGGAGGGAAGGTGGGTGCTGGGAGAGCTGGGCTGCACATCCTGCCCTGGAGCTGTTCCACAGTGTCCTGAAGCTGATGTGCATGGTCAGCCCTCGTTGCTGTCAGAAATTGTCATTTTAAGCAATCTGGTGATCTTGGACTATAAATGTGATTAAAAACCATCTGTGTGCCCACAATAGCCAGATTTGGAGGTGCTGGCAGGACAGCCCAGTATTTCCAACTTCTCCATGTTGCTGGTTGCTCCTGGGCAGTGCTGGGCTCTGGAGATGGTGCATTGGGGCGAGTTGGGAAAATCTGGTGTTTAGTTTTTGAAGCTACATCTTAATAACGTTTTTCACCTTGTTGGTGGGAGCTGCTCTTGTTACTGAGAGGAAAAGAAAGCAGAGGAAGAGAAGGTGGGCTGGAGGTGGCTGGTGGGTGCACTCAGGAGAGGCTCTGGTGACCTTTCTCAGAGCAGAGGTGTCTGGATTTTAACTTCAGCAGGAAAAACCATCAAGAGAAGTGATGTTGGAACTGCTGCAGGTGTTCATCAAACTGGGACAATTTCCTGCCTGTTTAGAACCCCCTGGTGAAATTCCTGCCACCTTTCTGGGGTGTTTGGGGCAGCAGCTCCGTGTGCTGTGCTTGCAGAGCAGTGCCAGCAGTGCAGAGCTGTCCATTTGCACAAATGATTAACTCAGGAGAAGTTAAAGCATAATTAGATTCTAAGAATGCCTCTTGCAGAACCTGAGACAGCCATGGAGGGGGAGACCAGGGGATTTTTTTACCAAGCTTTCAGGTGGCACCTGCCCCACGGCTGGATGTGTGGAGGGGGAAGAAATCAAAGTCTGACCTTCTGTCAGCGTTGTGCCTGCACGATAAATTCTTCGAGGAGTCATTTTAACCGGTTTTTTCCCCCCTTTCAATTTTGAAGTTGCCCAAGAGAAGGCAGAGCAGATCCCGCTGGAGAACCGCTCGTGTGTGCTGATCCGCCGGGACCTGGTGGCTCTCCCTGCCAGCCTCATCAGCCAGATCGGATATCGCTGCCACCCAAAGCTCTACTCTGAGGGAGATCCTGGAGAAAAACTCGAGCTTGTTGCAGGTAATTTCCTGTAGAATACCTTTGGGTTGCTGCTCTTCTCTTTCTGGAATTGCGTTCTCCATCTTGCTGGAGTCGTGCATCTTGTGTGCCCTTGCTGTGTCTTTCTGGATTATTCGTCACCAATCATCTTTTTGAAAAGTTCCTTTAATTTGCTGATAGAAAAATGTGTCATTAACAGGATTTATTCAATTGAATTAATTTAGCATTTTAATTGAATTCTGCAGCTTGTGTTCTTCCTGCTCGGTGTGGCTGCAGTGAGTGTGTTTTCATTTAGAATCACAGATCTAAAAACCCAACAAAACCCTCCCAAAAATTACCACATGATAAGATTTACAAAGCAAAGGAGATAAAATCGGTGTCAGTGAAGAAGCTTTGAAAAACCTGTAAAAGTTTCTTTTAAAATTTCCTAAGTGGTCAAACGCTGCAGCAGGAGGAGAAGGAATTGGATTTGGTCCTTTCTTGTGTCTTTATTTTCATTTTGAGGGAATAACTGGAGTGGCCAGGTCAGGTTCCAGTGAAAATAATAATTTTCTGTTTTTAGAAGTTCCCCCCAGCTTTTCTTTGCAGTGGCCTGGCTGTGGCTGTTTCCCTTGGATGTGTGGGGATGACTGGGCAGGACATCCCAGACCTGCCCCCGGGTGGGGAGGTTGAATTAATCCCTGCAAAGCCCTTGATCCAAAAAGGACGTGTGGCAGCACAGTCCATCCAAATCAGCTCTTCTTCCTTCCAGCCGTTTCTCTCTTGGTGAAATGATTTCATTTCCAGTCTCTAGAAGGAGTCAGGATTTCAGGGGATGCCCACAAAGGTTTGCAGGTGATGGAGGACAGGGCTTTGATGGAAGGCAAAGCACAGCACACAACCACAAGTATTTATTTTGTATCTGGAATATTCATTTTGTACCCATTTCCATTTAATGTGAGACTTCTTAAAACCATCAAGTGGTGCAGGTTATTTTCACAGTGAGAGCTGCAAATTGGCTTGAGGCAACTCTGCTTGATTTACATTTTTCAATCTGGAAAAAAAGTAGATTAATATCACTAACCGATAGTGGCTGCCTGGTTATTTTTCATTTATTAGAGTGAAGTTCCCCTCGGTGGTGGCTGGTGTTCACTCTGATGCTTTATCTCTTAAAATACAAAATAAACCCCCCTAATTCCTGTCTCAGTCCTGGAGGGGGGCTTGATCCTGCTGTGAAAGTTTTCCTCAGCTCTCCAAGTGGGAGTGCTTTCCTTTTGTTTCTGGTTTTTCATACCACAATTGATTCAGCAAATTTGAGCAGCCCTCTCTGAAAAAGAATCTTTAACAAGGTTTGCAGTCACCACAGCACATCTGAAGGAGGGACTGAAGCTGTTGCTCAAAAGAAACCCAAAAAAACTCATTAGATGGAAGAGAATGCAAGGAGAATTCCTGGTGAGGCGTGGCAGGGCTCAGAGATGCAGAGATGCTGGATCCTGGGGCAGGGTGAGGGGCCTGGGTGCCTCTGGTGCCAGGGGAAGGGCAGAGGGTCAAGCTCAGGGGCTGCCCTGAGCTCCAGCTCCATCCACAAGGTCAGGGACCATCACCTTCCCTGGAAATCCAGGAGGAGATATTACTTCTCCAGCAGATGTTTTTATATCTTGAGAACAGAGTGTGTTCTGGATCCAGCTATGACCCATTATTTAATCTTAATTAAAAGCAAATACCAAAGCCATCTCATGTAACAGAATGCTTGAAAAATGGGATAAGCTCTCCAGGAGTGGTTTGGTCTGTGAGCAGAATAAAAAGGTTTGATATAAAACCTGCTGTAAAGCACTGCCAGACCTCTGGATGTGTCCAGCTGCTTTGCAGAGGGTTCCTTTTTCTTCCAGAAAACATCCTTAAAGGCAGCATGTTCAAAGAAGTGCATTAGAAAGAAAATTCCCTGCTCACCAGAGGTATCAAGAGGTGGTGGGCTGGGGTTTTGGAAGCAGTTAGATCTGTAACCAGGTACCTCTTTCTGTGCTAGATGGGTTTTTTTCTTTCATTTCCAGCTCTGAGTTCTACAGTCTTGCACTGGAAAAAAAAGACAAGGCCAAATGGATTGGGGTTTTCTCGCTTCAGAAAGAATAAATAATCTGATCTGTACGTATAAAATCACAGTGTAAGCCTTGCACTGTGTGCACTGGTGAGAAAATAAGAATCCTTTCATTTGATTCCCGTAGACTTCCTGTCTGTACAGATAAAATTAGGAGTTGTTATTGCTAAGGCTCCAAGGATTTGTCAGGATTTTCCAGAAATCCTTGTTGCAGCAGGTGAAGAACAGGTTCCCAGCAGCGAGGAGGAGCTGTTGGTGGCTCGGGGCTGTGTCAGGGGTTAATTTTGGACTGTCCCTCTCCACCCCTGCAGGCTCAGGCGTTTACATCACCCGGGGGCAGCTGATGAATTGCCATTTATGTGCTGGTGTCAAACACAAGGTCCTGCTCAGACGCCTCCTGGCCACTTTCTTCGATCGGTACGTCCATGCCACCGCTCCTCCCTCTCTCCCAAGGGATTCACTCCCCTCATCCCGCGGGGTTTCACCCTGTGCCACCAGTGCTTCATCCTCTGCACTCGGCTCCGTGCGTTTTCTTCATGAGGCTTGAAAAACTTCATTCCATTTCCATGCACGTTTCCCATTCCTCACCTTAAAACCGCGGTGATGCCAACAGCAGAAGCTGAAGGGAGGAGGGCAGGGCTGGCCCTGATCCCCCTCTCCAAGGATCTCCCTTTGCATTCCCCGCAGGAACACACTTGCCAACAGCTGTGGAACTGGAATCCGGTCCTCCACGAGCGATCCCAGCAGGAAACCCTTGGACAGCAGAGTCCTTAATGCAGTGAAATGTAAGGAGAGGGATGTTCTGCTGCTGGGGTGGAGCAGCAGGGGCCAGCCCCGGGCAGGGCAGGCCACTCTGTTGTGTGGTAATGGTGGAATTAGGTTTATTTTTTAGTTTGCATCATTTTTTGATTGCCTAGAGATGCTGTGGGTGGGATCTGCTCTCCATCAGTCACTTCCTCCCCCAGTTACCTGTGGATACCTGGAGTGTTTTGGGACAGGAGGTGCTGGAGAGGGAGGGGCTGAGGGCTGCACCCTGAGGGGTGCAGAAAATCTGTTTGCAATGGGCTTCATATGCTGTGGAAATCACTGTGTTCTCTCACCCTGGCTGAAATCTGGGGAGTAAACCTTTTAAAATATTGCTGTGCTGAAAAACAAAGCTTTTAGGCAATTTTTAAAATTTAGCTTTTAAGATTTGGAAGAGAAATCTTTCACCTCCCTAATTGTTAAGCCTTCCAGCTGCCCTGGGAGATGTGTGGCATCTGTGGAAACGGGATAGGAGGGCAGATGTTCAGTAAAGTGGCTGAACATGGTGGGGTCAGCTCCCTGTTTGCAATTTTATCCTGCACAGTCCCAGCTCTGGACTTCCCAGCCGTGGTCCTTGCTGAGGGGGGCTGAAGGGCATTGCTGCTGTGTATCAGGATATAGGGTTGGGTTCCTGCTGCCTGGGTTTCTCCCCGTGCACTTCCTTTAGCTGACAGTTACTCGCCGTGGCAGTTCCTTGGATGCTGCTCTGTGACATCGGGTGCTTGGCTGCTGCAGAGGAGCAGGACACGAGGGATTGCAGGGCTCCTGCTGGGTGCCAGTGGAGCTGCCAGGCTGCTGGGCCACGCAGGGGTGGCATGAGGAGAGGGACAGGCAGGGGACAATCCCTTGGGCAAGCCCTCAGCTCTGACATTTCCTGCAGCGCTGTGGGTTCAGGAGCTGCTGCTGGGGAGTTTGTGGGATCTTTTCTGTGTCCCCACGTGCTGTGGCTGTGGGTGCTGGCTCTGGGGCTCCCCATGGAGTGAGGGACCCTTCTCCATCCCCCTCCCTCTGCCACCTGGGCAGTTTATAGCTTCTGATTTTATCCCTTCTGGGTTATGTCTCCAGCTGAGAGAGCTGAGAGCTCAGGTCCATGGGAGCCTGGGATCACCTTTGTGCCACTCCCCCCCGAGCCCTGAGCTCCGTGTCTCCGTGTCTTTGCAGTGTATTGTCAGAATTTTGCCCCGAGCTTTAAGGAGAGCGAGATGAACGTGATCGCGGCCGACATGTGCACCAACGCGCGGCGCGTCCGCAAGCGCTGGCTGCCCAAGATCAAATCCATGCTGCCCGAGGGGATGGAGATGTACCGCAGCGTCATGGGCTCCTCCACAAACGCTGGCCCCCTGGAGCCCGACTTCCAGCCCAACACTGCTCAGGTGTTCGAGCAGCGCATCTATGCAGAGAGGAGGAGCGACTCGGGGACTATAGTAGCCTTGAGAACTAACACAGTGAATGTAGAGCTGAGCAATGGATCCAGCCAGTCCTTCGAGCAGAGCGAGGATGCCGAAGGAGCCGGCTCCGTGATCCAGGAGGCAGCTGCCACAGATGCCATGGTGGCGTCAGAAACCCAAAGCACTCCACAACCTTTCGAGCAAGGCTCGGGCTCCTCCAGCCGGCCCGAAACCCCCGTGAGAAGACAGGATGGTACTTATGGAGGGACTTTATAAAGAGAGCAAACATTTCATGACCTATAAGGGATCTGTAATACTAAAGCTGCTTGCATGCATTACTAATACAAAACAAAAAAAAATGTGATCAAGCCACTTACCTACTGAACTGCTACTGTTGCCTGAAAAAAATGTGATTTTTATTCTGCTTGTATTTAAAATTTATGAAGGAAATAATCGCATTCGTTATACTGTAAACGACTAGGTCTGTGGCGACCTACTTAAAAAAATATTGGGCTCCTTTTTTGATATTCCTGAGATTAGTCTATAAGATTGTAGCTTTTTCTTTTTTTTTTTTTT